AGCAAACTAGCATACAAAAAGTGCTTAGCACAGAGGAACCACTTTATAAACGTTAGCTATTATTACCGGGGATAGCAAGTGGTTAACCAGGATGCCATGGGCCTTGATCTATATTTCCCATTCTGGCGATGCATATTGACAGTTAATTTCTTCCTTTGTTCTTCAAAATTTTGTAGGCAACCTTGAGGCTTAAGTCATGGCAATTGACTCTGTAAGCGACAGAAGTTAGAAAAATCGCCATGCATTTGTTCAGGCACATACGTGCATTGAAATAAAAGAGCAAAGCTAGACCCCAAATGATACACTGTATGGTGGAACCGTGATGGGATTAAGGGTAAGGCTTGATATCTTTATGTTGCTCCCTTTTTCTTTCTTTTCCAATTCTCCACAATAAGACTTTGTACATTTCCTATTCATAAAAGTGAGCATAGAGTTATTTTTACAGTCGTATCTAGGCAAAGGATCTGTAAGCACAAAGGAAAAAGAAATGTACCCCTGTTCTTTCTCCCTGCTTTCATCTCAGACATGCCCTGAGAAATGAAAAAGCACCAACTATTCACCATTGTCCCAAGATGAGATCACAGAAGCATGACTCAGAGTGGCTTCTGACACCAGGTAGTGACTAAAACAGGAAAACACAGGCCTGCTCTGCAGAGAATCCTCACCATCCCGAGGATGGAGGAGCCAGGCTGTGAGGTCAGGGGAGCTGACAGCATGTTCTGATCCTGAACCACACATGGCCAGACTCGCCTCATTAGTCATTTCGATTACCAAGGGAGCTCTTAGGAGAACAGGCAGATGCAACACGTGGTGGAGTTAGAGAATATCCAGGCTCAGAAACTCCTGCCCCCACCCCTGCCCAGCTCCCTCACCACTCCACCTGCAATAAAAAACAAAAACCCTGAGCATCATGATTTCGTGATTTCTTTTGCTCTTGCACCCATCAAAGGGTCCTTCACAGAGCCAGGAACACAGGCAATGTGGTGTTTGATTATTTTAATCAGTATTTCTTGTAGTACCCATCATCTATTTCTCCTTTATCTGGCAATAATGCCCTCCCTTGGTGGGACTGTCATTTAAGGTGACCTTCCTTTCCCTGACAAGGCAGTAGTGGGCACTGGGGTCAAGGTCAGCCAATCGGATGCCCACTTCCTGGGGACAGCCTTGTTATGGTTTGGATATGAAGCAACCCCAAAGGTTCTGTGTTGAAGGCTTGCTCCCCAAGGCAGCCATGTTCCTACCTGGGACTTTGGGGAGTGATTGGATCAATCCAGCAGTGGATTGATCCATTGGAGCTGAATAGACTCCTAGAAGTGATGGAAAGCTGTAGGTGGTGGGGCATGGTCAGATGAAGCAGGCCACTGGGGTGTGCCCTGGAAGGGTGTGGCCTGTTCAGCTATCCACACAATGAAATATTATTAGGGAATGTAAAGGATGAAATAAAGTTATAGTTATCAAGATGGGGGGGGGGGGCTTGCCATAAAGACAGATGTAGAGACCAAGGGAATGGAAGAGACATCCCAGAAATAATCCCTCTCCCATGTGGTTAAGGGTGCCAAGAACATCCAATGGGGAAAAGGCAGTCTTTTTTGCTAAATGATACTGGGAAAACTGGGTATCCACATGCAGAAGAACAGAGTTGGACTCTTACCTGACACCATATACAAAGATTAATTCAAAATGAATCAAAGACATAAAGCAGAAAAGCTAAAACTACAAAACTGTTTGGAAAAAACATAGGGCAAAACCTTGACAATCATGAATTCCACAATGATTTCTTGGATATGACACTAAAGGCACAGGCAACAGAACAAAGAGTAGTCAAGTTAGATGTCGAGAAAAATCAACAACTTGTTCATCAAAAACACTCTTGGCAGAATGGAAGAAAGCATTTGCAAATTGTATATCTGATAAGGGATTAATGCCCAGGATAGAGAACTCCTGAAAGTTAACCACACACACACAAAAAAAAAAAAAACATGCAAAAACGGGCAAAGGATGTGAATAGACATTTCTCCAAAGAAGACATAAATGTGGCCTATAATACATGAAGAGATGCTCAGTATCAGTAATCACTAGGGAAATTTAAATCAAAACCACAGTGAGCTACCACACTGTGCTCATTAGAATGCTGCTGTCCAAAACAAAACAGAGTCAATAAGTATTGTGGAGCCTGTGGATAAGCTAGACGTCCTGGGTGTGGCCAGGGAAGCGTACAATGGTGAGCCCCAGGAGAAAGTATAGCAGTTGTTCAACAAATTAAAAATAAAACTACCACGTGAGTCAGCAATTCTGCTTCTAGAAATCTATCAAAAAGAAATGAAAGTAGAATCTCGAAGAGATGTTCACATGCCCACTTGGACCACAGCATGATTCACAATAGCTGAAAGGTAGAGGCAATTCAAGTGTTCATCAACGAATGAACTTATAAGCAAAATGTGGTATTTCCACAGAGTGGAAAATCATTCTGCCTTAAAAAGACATTCTGACCTACGCTACAGCATGGTTAAAACCAGAAGGCACTACCCTAAATGAAACAGACCCATCATGGGAAGACAGCTACTGTAGGATGGCACTTACTCAAGGAAGTCAGTGTCTTCAAAGGTGGAGACAGAAAGAGAGTGGTCGTCACTAGGGTCTGGGGAAGGGGATGGGAAAGGCGGTTGATGGGTGCAAAGTTTCACTTCTGCAAGATGAAAAGAGTTCTGGAGTTGGGTGGTGATGGCTGACACAACAGTATGAATGTGCTCAATATCACTGAACTGTACACTTAAGAAGGTAAACTGCATCTTATATATATTTTACCACCACAAAATTCTAAAAAATTTTAAAAAAGAAAGAAAGAAAGAGAAAAGAAATGAAGTACTGATAAATGTTACAACAGGAGCAAACTTCAAAACATTATCTTAAGTGGGCGAAAAAAAGTCAGAATGCCAAAAAAAAAAAAAATACTGCCTGAATGCATTTGGGTGTAATATTCAGAATAGGCAAGTCCATAGAGTCAGAAAGTACATTTGTGGTTCCCCAGGGCTGGGAGGAGGGAAAAATAGGAGCAACTTCTTCATGAGTTTGGGGTTTCTCTTTAGGGTCATGAAAATGTTCTGGAAGGAGATGGTGATGATGGCTACTAATCACTGTCAACACGCTACACATCACTTAATCATATACTTTGGCTGTCATTGTAAATTTTATCTTAAATGTATTTGCCACAAGATTAAAAAATTGAAAAAAAATATATATATATATATATATATATATATTGTTGCTGTTGTTTTGTTTTTGTTTTTTTTTAACTATAAGATCCTTCTAGAGGAGAGTGGTGGAAAGAACATAAGGTTCTTCTCAGACCTGCCTCTGACTGGCTGTATCAACTCTGGCACATCCTTCCCTTCTCCAAGCCTCAACTTCTGCAGCTACAGAATAGAAGTTCCTGTGGGCTTGGTGAGCAATTGCAATCCATTAGTCCACAAACTCTCCTTTTTGCAACACTCCAAGGGAGATTCACTCCCCAGTCTCCTGACTTCCAACACAGCTCAGCTTCTTATCTGCAGCCAGTCTCCCCTGAACTCCAGCTCCTCTGCTCAGCATCTCACATGTGTTTCCAACAGGCATCTTTAATGTCACCTGTCCAGGAGGAACAGATGACCCTCCTCTGACCTCTTCCCTCCCCTAACTTTTGTCCTTGCTTAGCTCATATGTTAGAGTCTATAAACAAGTCAGGATGGCGCCTGGCATTTTGCCAGAGGGAGTGGTTTGTGAGGTGGCGCCAGTGAGCCACTAAGTGTGGAGATTCCTTATTGGTTGACTGCTGTATCTAGTTTATGTTAATTAAGATAAGCTGTGTGGAATGTATATATACTCCTCCTGTCCTACAATAAAGGGCTCCCACTCCTGCTGTATCAATGTACACAAGTTGCTCATCACCCCCCGGTTATTTTGCTGCAGCCGGACTCCGGCACTCATAGGCTTCCCAGTCACCATACACGAAAACTCTATTCTTTCAGATGAGGCTAGACTTGTAGGAGGCTTTAACTTACCTCTCCAGCTCCATCCAATGCACAGTACACCTGCAAGTCTGCCTTCGCAAACGCATCCAGAATCCAACCCCTCTGGTCTCAGTTGACATCCTCACCCTTGCAGATCCTCCTGATTCTTCCCTTCAATTTATTCTCAACACAGAAGCTGGAGAGATCCTCATAAAATACAAGTAAGTGCACATCGATGCTCAGCCCAGCTCTAGTGGCTTAGCTTAGTTTCACCCAGAGGGAAACTCCTTGCACTGCCCCACCAGGCTGTGTGTGCAGCAGCTTCTCCTTGGTGTCGGGGCCCCATCTGCTGCTTCCTCCGTGGATGGTGCTTTCTCTGCACTCACCTCCTTGCCTTTCCTTGAGCACACCAATGCATTCCCTCTCTAGACCCTTGCTCTCATCCCTTCTACCAGCGTGCTCTTCTCCCAGGTATACACGTGACCTGCACCGTCATCTCATGTCTACACTCAGAGACCTTCTCAGAGAGTCTTTGCTGGCCACCCTATTTGGGGTTATGAGATAAAACACAGGACATACAATTAAATTTGCATTTCAGATAAACAAGGAGCAATTCTTTCAGTATAATTATGTCCCATGAAATATTTCAGCCATTTTTGTATAGGACTTACTAAACCTAAAAGGTGCCTGCTGTTTATCTGAAATGCAAATTTAATCAGGTGCCTTGTATTCTTATTTACTAAACTTGGCAATTCTCTAAAGCTGTAACCATCACACCCATATTTGTATACCCCAACTTTATTTTTCTCCATAGTGTCCATCTCATATATTGCTTTATTTATTTATTTACTTTATTATTTGTCTACACTACTAGAACTGTGTTGTCCACATGTGGCTCTTGAACCCTTGAAATGTAGTAGTACTACTGAGAAACCAAATATTTTATTTTATCCAAATTAATTTAAGAATGAACATTCAATTTATTAATTAGAAAACATAGTTATTAGAAAATACTCAAGTGTTTAGAATAGCTTGGGTAAAGAAATATACTTTTTCAAAAAGTTTTATGAAATCTTCCTACAGATCATATATTTCCAATACAAATTTAATGTTTAAATTGAGATGGGCCTAACGGGTAAATTATAAATTACCCACCAAATTTTGAAGCCTCAGTATGAAAAAATGTAAAATGCCGCGTTAATCATATTCTACGTTGGTTCCATGTTAAATGCAACATTGGGAGAATATCGGATTAAATATATTTATAGGATTAATTTCACCTATTTCTCTTGATGATTCTACTGTGGCTGCTGGAAATCTGTAAGCTGGCATGTGGCTCACACTGGGTCTCTTGGACAACACCACACTGAACAGCAGCCTCCTTCAGGACTTTGTTCTCCTGAAAGCAGAGCTGAGATGGACTTGGGAGGCTCTAGTTTATTCTGGCATGTGACAGCAGGAAGCAGGAGTGAGGAACTGGGTGAGTGAGAAAGAAGTCAATATCCCTGTCCATTATCAAGGCTGCAGCAGTGGGTGGCAGGAACTCCACTCCACAGGCACCTCCCGAAGAGCTCCATCACGTCTCCCAGAATCCTCTGCTGAGGGACAGGAAGCCACAGCTTTATCCACCAGCTCCCAGACCCACGGAAGGCTGCTTCCAGGGGTTAACTCTTTTGAGCTGCACTCGTGCCTGGGGAAAAGGAGCCTCCACTGCATTGGAAAACATAGAAACTTTATAAGCTTGAGGCTGACAGAGGATGTTGGCACTCTCAGGCAAAGCTGAGCTCACAAGAGACTATCTGCTACACCTGTAGTGGAAGATGTTCTTCTCCCAGGTACACACGTGACCTGCACACCAGGGACCATGGTCTCCTTCAGCTTTAAGATCTCAACACCTAGAACATAATAAAAAAATGTTCAATTAATTGAATAAAAACATTTGCATTCAAAAAATACATACTGAGCTAGGCATAGTGGCACACATTTGTAATCCCAGCAGGAGATTGTAATCCCTCAGGAGGCTGAGGCAGGAGGAACACAAATTTGAGGTCAGCCTCAGCAACTTAGTGAGACCCCTTCTCAAAAACTAATAAGGACTTAGGGGTGTAGCTTAGTGGTAGAGCATCTCTGGGTTCAATCACTAGGACTGCAAGGGGAAAAAAAATGAATAGCTGCTATGTGCTCAGCATATAAATATTCAAGAAATAATAGTTATTTTCACCATTCTTTATTTGAGTACCACCTCAGAATTCCTCACCTCAAATTTCATTTCTTAATAAGCAGTAACTATCAAACACCTTAATTCTTATTTCTCATTTCTTAATAAGCAGTAACTATCAAACACCTCAACCTCTCCTGGAAGTCATGGCAGCCAACCTTTTCTGCACCCCTCTCCAGACACCCTGAAATGGCAGATGCAGTTAGAGAACTTGGAATATGAGTTTCCCCAGCAAGAACTTGGTTTCCATGTTTTCCAATGCAGTGGAGGCTCCTTTTCCCCAGGCACAAGTGCAGCCCAGAAGAGTTGACTCCTGGGAGCAGCCTTCCATGGGTCTGGGAGCTGGTGAATAAAGCTGTGGCTTCCTGTCCCTCAGCAGAGGATTCTGGGAGCTGGACGGCATGGGGGTGCTTACCCACAGCCCATAAATGGTGCACATTAAGTGTACTTCTTTCTCCTCTAGAGCATCTCCTCTGTTTTTATGCACACAGCAAGTATTAATAAATGCTTAACACTTCCCAAACTACCATGGAAAGGATCCAGGACTGCTGAAGACCCCCTGTCTACCACCACTCTAGAGGCTCAGAGGAGCGGTCTCTAGGAAATGGCTGCCTGTCAAGTTCTCTGAAACGCTGATGTCCCAATGCCCACTCACAGCCCTAGGAATGGTAAATGCTCCTCATTTCCACAAGCCTCTAGTTCAAACAACAGTTTCTACCTTCTCTCAGTCTGTTTGTGCTGCTACAAAAGAAAAACAAACAAACAAACCTGAAACTAGGTGATTTATAAAGAACAGAAATACATTGCTTACAGTTCTGGAGGCTGGAAGTCCGAGATTCAGGCACTGGTGAATTCAACATCTTATGAAGACCCACTTTCTGGTTCACAGATGGTGCCTCCCTGCCACGTCCTCCTGTGATGGAAAGGTCTCTTTATGAAAGGCACTAATGCCACCCTCATGAACTCATCACCCACAAAGGCCCTGCCTCCTATACCATCACCTTAGGGTTGGGATGTCAACATATGGACTTTGCAGGTATATAACAATCAGAGCAGAGCAATACCTTCCACATCCATGAACTAGAATTCTGCAAAGAACTTTTCTTCATCAATAGGACTATTTGGTTACTTGAAAACACAGTTCACTCAGGAAAGGCAGAAGTTATGTTCAATTCTTTCCTTTGACTTGTCTCTTTTTAGAGTAAGGAGGTAGAGTCCTGGCAGATGAAGCACATCCCAAGGGTGGGAACATCTTTAGTGGTAACCACAAAGTTTATGTAAGGGCTGGAGGTTTTTTCACCCATGTTTTAAATTCCTCTTTTTAACATATCCATTATGAGTCATCTGTTTTTACATATTCAATGTGTGTTCAGAAAATTGCATCTGTTATTTTTGCTTGTGCTTAAATTGTCTCATCTTTGGGAGCCACTCATGAGCCCCTGTGTCCTTTGGATGTGACCATTGATCTTTGGTGGCTTTTCTCTTCTCTTGCATGGCAAGGTATCCCAAGCTTCTCTTATGTATTTACTTCACTGTTCACAGAGCCCTGGTTCCTCTTCATTGGAACTAGGATTTAGCATGTCCATACACTCCTACTCGTAAAGAAAATGTAGGAAATTACACACGAAGCTATTAGCAATGCTCAGCTGCTCACCTCTGGCTTTAGAAACTGGAGATCCACAGCAGGAGGGAAACATTTTTCAGTGAGTGCTTCTCTGTGCTGTGGGTTTTTTTTAGTACTGACAACAACACTAAAATAAGCGCAAAGGTAGACTGCCTCCAGGGAAGGAAACTTCAGGAACCAGTGAGTAGGTGGGGAGGACGTGCTTGTTTACCTTGCTTCTATTTCACTGAGAGGAAGGAGAGACTAGAGATTCCTCGGCCCTCTGATGCTCCCACCAACCCAGAAGGGCATCCCCAGAAACCAGGAAGATCACTTCAGCCTCCGGCACAAGCTCCACCTTTGGTTTCCTGCTCAGCTTGGTTGTTGCTGTGTAGAGGTTTTGGAAACGAGAGGTAACTATAGATTGCTTGGGTTTTTGTTGTTGTTGTTGTTTGTTTGGGTTTGGTTTTTTTGTTTGTTTGTTTGTTTCCACCTCCCTACATTCCCAGTATCTCCCTTGCCAAAAAAAGAAGAAGAAGAAGAATCACCCCCTCACTGTGTCCTTTTACCCAGAACCGGCCTGGTTATGTCTCCTTGGGGTATTCATGGTGGTACACTCATAACCGTGCTCACTCTCCTTGGTGCCTTGAGAGACTCAGGGCTAGTCACTGAGCCAACAGGTGGCAAAGCAGGAGCACTTTCAAGACAGTGCCCCTTTTATGCCAGTGGCAAAGCCCTGACACTTTAGCTCCATCCAGTTGATGGGAAAGTCCAACAGAAGCAAAAGTCAAGCAGAGGGAAGGCAGACTGTGCTCACAGGGTGAAGAACAGAGGCCAAAGAGACGTTGGTGGGTTCTCACCAGCTCCACACAAGTTACCACCTTGCTAAGCCTCAGCAGCTTCTTCTTCAGGAAATGATTCAAAGATCTTTTCTGGTTCTGAAGATTCAGTGACTGTTTTAGTCAGGTTTTTTTTTTTTTTTTTTTTTTTTTTTTGGCTGCTGTGACCAACAGACCTGACAAGAACAATTTTAAGGAGGAAAAGTTTATTTGGGGGCTCACGGTTTCAGAGGCCTCAGTTCATAGATGGTCAACTCCACTCCTTGGGGCTCAAGGTGAGGTGAACATCAAGGCTGAAGGGTGTGGAGGAGGGAAGCAGCTGGGGACATGGTACCAGAAAGCAGAGAGAAAGAGCTGTCCTCACCATGACAAAATATAATCCCCCAAGCACCCCCCCATGACCCACCTCCTCCAGCCACACCCTACCTGCCTCCAGTCACCACCCAGTTAATCCATGTCAGGGGTTTAATTCAATCATTTCAGCCTAAATTTCTTGCATCATTTCACACATGGGCTTTGGGGGGGCCCCTCATATCTGAACCATAGCAGTGAGCCCGCACAAACAGAGCATGCCACACAGTGCCACAGCCAGCTGGCAGCAGTGGGAATGTTGCTGCTGCTGACTTTGAAACACTGGAGCTGGTCCCTCCTCTTGGGCTGTCCCATCGGCTTCCACGACCTTTCACACACTGGGCTTGGCTATGAAAAGAAGAGTTTTCCAGTAGCTGTGTGGGTGTTTATAGTTGGTGGCATTGCTTTCAAGCTCCAATCGTTTTCCTAGATGAGGGAGAAGTCAATGACGGGCAGGGTACAGAGAGACCTGGGCCCTCATTCCTGGCCAGCCACTTCCCAATGGGATGGGTGTGAGCAAATACCATACTTCAGAGCCTCAGTTTCCTGACCTGTAAACCAGGCACACAAATCATAATCCACTCAACAGCTTGCCTTAAGTTCTTCTTAGGTTCTGGATATGGTGCTAGGTACTAGGGACATAAGTGTAAAGAAAAATCATCCCTAACTTAAAGAGACCACCATTTGGAGAGGTGAATAAAGTAGAGAACAGTGGTTCACAGTATGGTCTTTGGAACAAGACAGACCTGGGTGAATTCATACTAGCTGTGTGATCCTGGGCAAGTTTATCACCTTCATTGACTGACCCTCATTCCCCCATCTCAAGATGGAAATGGTAATAACGGGATCTACCTCATGGAGATAGGGGCTCTGGGGCTTCATATAAACCATGATGAAAAGCTCTTAATTCATTTCTGGCACCCAGGAGGCACCCAGTGAGGACTGGCTGCTATTATGAAGTGCATTCGAGAGTCGTTGGCACCATGCAGGGACTTTGTGCCGCTTCCAACAGATAATTATATAAGGAGGTAAGGATGTGGGAGTCATGACGCCTGGACAGGGTCTTGAAACATGAGTAGATGTCTGCCAAGGAGGGAAGGGAGAACCAACTGACATTTTGGGGGAATGATGGGGCATCCGTGTGGAGAAAGCATGTGGCACAGCGTGAGGTCATGGGGCAGGGTGGGACAGTGGTGATGGGAAGAAGATAAGGCCAGAGCCAGGCACTGGCAAAAGCTAGCTCACAGAGAATCTTCTGCACCATTCCATGGAGCTTGGGCTTTATTACAGATGGAACAGGAATCGTCAAGGACCTTACAGTAGGGAAATGAGGCTCATCTTAGATGATCATCTTAGAACGGGTCTGGGGATGCAGGTTGGAGGATGGAGGGGAGCAAGCCAGGGAGCTGGGAGCCCAGTGAGGGTTGTCCCCAGCCCCAGGAGAGGTGAGGAACAACTGCACCCAGGCAGGGGTGGAGAAGACAGACGTTGCTGTGCTCCTGGGGCTGGGAGAACCAGGTGGACTTTGCTTGTGATGGTCAAGAGCACTCTCTGCTTGCATCTGGAAGGACTGTTGTCCTTTCTCCCCTTCTCTGTCACCTTCTTGTTTTTTTCTTACATTCTGTCCCAATACCCTCTCACCTTCTCCCCACTCATTTTTTGGGGCCTTGATCTATGTGTGCAGCATCTCATGGGCTGGTGTAGGAGAGAGGGGAAAAGGAAGACACAGAGATTGGAGCCCCCTTTGGCCACCAGACCAAGCTCCCTGTGTAAATTTAACAATTGTCTCAAGAAGACTCTTCTTCCCCATGTTACCTTTAGCCCTCACTTTGCAAGCCACCTCTGCAGCCGAAGAGCTGATAGCTGCTGGGTTGTCATCTTCAATCATACCTCTGGCAATAGAACATGAAAGTGACCTCTTGCAGGTCAGGAATGGTGTTGGCACTGGGAATATAAGACCACAAAGACATTCCACCCTACATCTGTGGTACTCAGATCCTGGGCAAGAGAAACCATGTCAACAAAGAATTTCAGTACAGTGCAATAAACTTCCATCAGAGATACATGCAAAATCCTGAAGGACCATGATTTTAAGAACCAATTAACTGAGCTTGTACCAAATACAAGAACCATACTAAGCCCCGTACATAAACTGTTGCATCAGAGCCTTAGAGAACCTGGCCTGTCTTATTTGTCACTGTATCCTCAGCACTTGGCACAACATCTGACACACAACGGGCACTCCAGAAGTATTTGAGAAAAACAACCCATAGAGGCCTGTCTTGGTATTGTCTCAAGGATACAGATGGAGGAGACTAAGGCTCAAAGAAGCAAAGCCGTTGATCCAAGGTCACACAGAAAGTAGAAGAATTGGGGTCAATCAGGTCTGGCTCAGCCCATGACCTTGACCCCTGTGCCCTTGGGAAAGGAGCCATAAATTGTCTCTGGGCAGGGTATATGAAGGAAGGCTTTCCAGGGAGGTGACTCTTGATTAGAACTTGAAGAATGAGCTTGCCAGGCAGACAGCAGAGAAAGAGCATTAGAAGGGCCGGGTGGGGTGGTGCGGACACATTCCACGTGGCTGAACACCAGCTGTGTCTTGAGACGCTGGCAGCAGACGAGTTTGGAAAAGCTGGGGGAGGCCAGATGATCACAGAGGAGACAAGACTCATCCTTCCCGCTGCTTCCTTTGTAGCTCTGGTCTTGAGGCTTCCGGGATCTGTGCAGGCGCGTCTCAGGCTTGCATTTGATTTCTCTTCTAGCTGAAGCTCCAGAGCTTTTGTGTTGGCTGCAAAGGATAATACAGAATTTCCCGCCCAAGCAATTTCTTCTCTTCGGCACCCACTGGAGCATGATTTTGGCACACTTGTGTGACGTGGCAGGGGCTCAGCTGGTGCACGCCCAAGACACCCCACAGCTGCCATGCCAGCTGCTCAGCTGAGAAGGGTGCCAAGGTTCCCACCAGAGGGATGGAGCTGTCCCCGGCTATGGTGTCAGTAACACGTCCTCTTCATTTTCCCCATTTTACTTTCCATCTCTTCCGTTGATGGGAGGAGCAGCCACGTTTGTGTTTAGTTCGTGTTTTCCTTGCCCCTGATGTCTCTGGGTCTCTCTTGGAACACACTTTGTTCTGCCTGGAAGTCAGGGAAGAGTCACAAGCTCCCGAACCAAAAACTCAGTTGGATTCTATTCCCAGTCCTTCCAGACTGGCTCACAGTGTGACCTTGGGGAAGTAGATATTTTAACCTTCTCTGAGTACCAGTGTCCTGGTCAGCACCATCATAGTACTATCCCTCAGAGCAATGTTGTGCATTTAACCCTAACCTGTGTGAGCACCACGGACAGGACTTTGGCACATAGTAGCTGTTTGATAAATACCAGATCATATTACACACATCTTCTACTCCTGGAGGGCAAGATCCATCT